TCCAACAAAAGAGAACATTATAACCTTTTTACTCCACAACACCAGTCAAATGCTTCCTTTTGTGATCTGATGAGGCTTCTTGTCACAGAATGAGGCAGAAAATATGTTCCATATGCTACTTTAAAAAGAATACATCGATTAGCAATGGATTATAAATATACTTAATTATGAAAATACCAGAGATGGCTTGAATAACACAGATAAATGATATTGTCGCAGTCGAATGTTTATTGTCTTTGTTTTATCATTCAAAGCATTTATATGTTCTGTTTACTCAGTTAAAGCTATAATAGCAATGCCTTTGTCCATATAAGGGATTTCCTGGAGGGTCATGAGTTCGCTACTTCTGGAGTGCAGTATGAATGAAACAGACATCATGTGTTTATAGTAGTGATGGTGAAGTGAAGCGTTCTGAACCAGCGAAGCTTTCAACACAATTGTATTGGAAAAAGGTTCATTACTCAAAGCTTTTTAAAATGGTTTATGCTGTGGCCATCTAGTGGTCATAAAAATAAACAACACCTTCCAAAGTGTGTTTATTTATTAAATAAAATTATTTATCCATTACAGCCGGTGGTTTCACATCTGTTTCGACAACTGATTCTTTGTTTTATTATATTTTATATAAATAATGTTTATTGTCAAAGTCATTAATTTTTGTCGGTGTACTGGCACTAAACTAAGTAAAATAAATAAAACATAAATTCATAAATTAAATCTATGATCTGTTTATTTGAACTCTGCCTCAGTCCTTAGACTGTTATTTCATGGCCAAAGTTCATTTTTTAACTCAATATATAAATTACGATTAAAAAAAACAAAAAAAAAAAACAATGCTAACACATTATAATGTAATATAATGTAAAGGAAACAGCACTGAGATTCACTTCGTTTGAACCAGATACTGAAGCAGTCACGTGGTTTTCAGGCGAATGAAGCTTCGGACGTCACAGATCACGTGCTTTTCTCAAAACGAATCAAGCTCCGATACAGTGCTTCAATGTGAAATGTGTTGTTTTTTTGATACAAACTTCGACGCTTCAGTGTTGAACGTAACATCACTAGTTTATAGTGCTAATGGCCAATCCATCATTTTTTGGGGAATTTTTATTTATTTATTTATTGTTTAATTAGTATCGGTTCAGGCACCGGTATCGAAAAAACCCCAAACAATACCCAACCCTACCAACTACTCAACATTTTTGTCACATTTTGCCATTTTGAATTGAAAATATAGGCTGTAATTGACTTGATTTGTGTTATTCATAACTGGATGAGTGGTTTTCAGCATATTAGGTTTATGATAAAGAGTTCTAGTTTGGTTTGTTTGTTCAAGACATGGATACGGCCTTGGTTGTCTCTGATTTATTTATTTTTTTTTAACTTTATTTAGTTTTTTAATATGACATTTGTTTTTCCAGAACAAAGGTCCAAAAAGAAAACGATAGTACGGTATACTAGTAGTTACAAATAAACATCCCCATTCACGAGAAAAAAAACAAAAACCTTACCGGCGACTGTATAATGTATTAGCCACCTACACTCCTCCGCAACACTTCAATAAACTGTCCGCTTTAATGATATATAGTCTTTAACAATCATGTCCATATTCTGAACATTAGGTTTCCTCTCTGTGCCAAGTCTCGGTAGAGCAAATCACCTCTTATACAGACGCATTATTAGTTCCTCTATGATCGCCTTGCTCTTCTCTCGTAGATTTCCAGTTTGGGACTGTGGTCATCAGAAACTTTTCAGCATCGGAAGACATTTCGAAAGCTTTAGTTTCCTCTCCTACCGTCACGATGAATTTTGCCGGGAATTTGAAGCCGCATCTTATGTTTCTTTCCTTGCATTTATTCCTTACGTCGTTAAAGTCCTGCCGCTTCTTCATCGTTCCAGACGTCAAGTCTGGATAGATCTGCACACTGTCACCTTTAAAACGAAGAGGAGCCTTCTGTCTTGCTAGGCGTAGCACGAGTTCTTTCACTTGAAGATGGTGCAGTCTAGCAATTATAGCTCGCGGTCTATTGCCAGCGGCTGGCCTCGCGCTTCTGTGAGCCATGTCGATCTGGATCGATTTATCAAAGTTATCTTGTCCAAGCAACTCTGGAAGCAATGAGCTGACGAACTCGGAAGGCTTGCCATTTTCTAGCTTCTCTTTGATTCCCATTATGCGGATATTGTGCCTGCGTGAACGCGAAACTTTATTTGGCTTCGTCATATTGCGCTGTAGATCTTAATATATTCGGCTGCAAAGCACAGTTTCTTAATCTGATTTATTTAGGAAATTTTTTCAATATTGAAGCGGAGCCAAGAAACACTCCATGCGCGTACAAACTGGAAGCCCGTCTCTGATTTATTGTACTTTATTTTTAACCTTACACAAAAAATACAGAATATTATCCTGAAAATATAGAACAAGACAAAAATAGAGCTGTAGGGAGGGCAGAGAGACACAAGTCTTCACATAATGACAAAACACGATGCTGTTTTTGTGTTTGTGTGTGAAAGTGACGTTCCTCAGCAAATGAGCCCAGACACATAATACAGGTTTAACAGCCATTACCCTAACCTAACCATAACCCAGCCATTACTGATCATTTGTGTCAGCTGACGAGAGACTGATGAGCTGCTGGACTGCTGTGGACTCAGTGCTGGTTAAGACCATGTCTCTCTCTTCTGGAGAAAAATCCAGCTCAGCCCATGCGTCTCGCTCTCTTTCTGTCTCTCTCTCTGTGGAAGTAGGCCATGTAAAGATAGCTGCTTCAAGCAGCCTAAATTCTGACCCCTAAAATATCAGTGAGAAACAGAGGCGGATGGAGTCGCACCCTCACAGCATCATTCTGTCACTGTATGTTTGTGTGATTATTCATCGTTTCTGCTCTTTAGCTAATCACAGATCTGACGGTTGCCGTGGCGACGGGGCCGGTTTCTTCCAGCCTGTTGTGTTGCACGTCACAGAAAGAGCCGCACATCTGCTGGAACGCTTTGTGTCGATGAGCAGTTTGTTCTTCTCTTCAGCGATTCTTCTGAAGACACTGGAGAGAGAGAAAGACAGACAGACAGACAGGTCACTAGAGGCTCTCCTTTAATATGCCTGTCTGTCTCTCTGTGCTTGCTTATGGAGACTCAACCCATCTGCTGTAAAACAGAGACAGACAGACGGAGGACGAGAGCAGAGAGTGTTGAAAGGAAACCAGCAGCAGCAGCTTGAGAAAGACAGCAGCTGTAAAATGGGGGGGAGAGAGAGAGAGAGAGAGAGAGAGCGAGAGCGTTGCCCTGAGATACAGGATGTCGTAACGAGACGGAGCGCTGAACTGCGGAGGGGAGCAGAGAGACGCACACAGAGAGAGACGGCTCATGTTTCCACCCGCAGCAGCACAGATCCCCCCGCCCGCGTGAGCAGTGGAGCGGCCCTCTGCGCGCACAGATCTGTTATTGTGCAGCGCTGCAGAAGACGGAGAGACAGAGACAGACAGCGTGTGGGAGCCTCGCACTTTCTCAGCGTCATTCAGGAAACGACGGCGGCGGAGGACGAGTGCGAGCGAGCAGCTACAGCCGGCAGGGCGGCGGTGCTGAGACCTTCCTCGCGTCCGCCGCTCGCCGCACCCCCGTCCCGGAGCGTGTGTCCTCCAT